ATTCCTCTTATAATCCAAGCCAGGTCTTAAAATCAAGTTTGTAAAAGCCATTAATTAATCATTTTGGTCTCTTGACCACAAGGTAAAAGGCTGTATCTTTAATACAGTCTATGCCAACCTACCATGCAAAAGAGCCTAAAGTTAACAGACCCACTGATAAAGAACCATCCCAAAGCTGCTTTATTAATCTTTTGAAAACTTTAAAAAGTTTTTTATTATTCTATTTCATTATAATTATCTTCATGCCGGTATAAATTATGATATTTTAAGTCTTTCAAAAAACAAAATCATTTTAAGTCCACAGCATCAGCAGTTTCAGAGACGGCTATTTCAGTTCAACATGAGAGTCATTCAACGACACAATGGTCTGACTTGTGATCTAGTTAATTTTCCACTCTTTTGAAGTATTTTAGCAGAAGCTAAATGGTCACTCAAAAAAACGGTAGCAAATATTTTCTATGACATGTAAAGCTATACTAGATAATCTCTAAGGGCTCTTCCAACCCTGGGGTTCACAATTCAAATACAATTAATGATAAATGGCTTTTCTCTTTACATCTGTTTCAAAGGCCTCAAAGGCCACAGGATGACAACATTATAAAATTCTTAGTATTCAAGAAGAACATATCAATAAGCTAATCCTAGAGCTTTGGGAGGCCAAGGCAGGAGGATCACTTGAGCCCAGGAGTTTGAGACCAGCCTGGCAATATAGCGAGACCCAGTCTCTACTAGAAAAAAAAGAAAATTAAAAAATAGTTGGGCATAGTGATGTGGACTTGTAGTCCTAGCTACTTGGGAGGCTGAGGTAAGATCGCTTGAACCCAGGAGTGTGGGACTACTGTGGGCCATGATTCCAGCCTGGGCAACAGAGAAAGACCCTGTTTCAAAAAAATTGTTAAAAATATATATTACTGTAAAATTTCACCCATGTGTGGAAGCTTAAAAAGTTGATCTCATAGAAGTATAGTGTAGAATAGTGGATACTAGGGGCTGGGGCGATTTGTGTCGCTGCTTGGGGAGATACTGGTCAAAGGATGCAATGTTTCAGTTGGATAAGAGAAACAGGTTCAAAAGATCTATTGGACAACATGATGACTACAGTTTATAACAACATATTGTATTCTTGAAAAATGCTACAGGAGTGGATGTTAAGTGTTCTTACCACAAAAATGATAACTATGTGAGGTAATACACATGTTAATTAGCTCGATTTAGCCATTCCACAATGTAGATATACTTCAAAAC